CTCCTCATCCCTGTCCTCCTCCTCCTCCTCCTCCTCCTCCTCCTCCTCCTCCTCCTGCACCTCCTGAGCCATGTTCCGCCCGAGGGCGCCTGGCCGCGGGGGGCGAGCTGCGGACGTTGCGGCGGCAAGCTGGGAAGTGGCCCCGCCGCCGCGAGTTAAGGATGCAGATATGGGTGAAGTGTGGTTCGAAAGAGGCGGATCACGGCGGTGGGCTGGATGTGCCGTCGGCAACCGTATCTCCTGAAGTATAGCAACTACGTGCGGGCAAATGTGGAGCTTTATGCAGGCCAGTCTGCAGCAAACGGTGAGATCTGGTGGGGCCCGCAGTGGGACGGATACATGGCGCAACCGTCAATCCACCGGGTGTACATGCACACGGGGCCCACCCAGTACATCGGGCTCGAGCTCTCATGCGGGTAATTGTGAACAGGACCGCGCTTGCCGTCGTTCGGGAAGGGAGGCACCAAGTTCGTCACGTATGTGGTCTCGGCGTTTTGGCTTCTACCATTCCGCGACACAGGCTCATGGTTAGGCCAGATCACGGCCCACTTGCAGTGAGGATGACAAGAGTACTTGTTGTGCCTTTTGCATTCAATTGTCGATTGTTCCATGGAAGTGGTGAGTACTCCCGTCTCTGTGGTGTGGTGCCAAGCCCGACAAGAACAAAAGAACTATGCAGAAGAACTAAGGAGGTTAGGGGCGAACCGAGAAACCCCTGTTTCGGAGCGGGCGTTTGGCCCTGTGGTTCTCGGGAACGCGCAGTGGACACGGACCCGCTGCGCCATCTCAGTGATGGAGCATCTGGCTTCGAGTAGCACGTGCCAGCGCTTTTTTACAGCTCGCAGGCCTAGTGTATCAGTAGTGCCCCCTCCGCTTGGGCCCCGATCGCAAACGGCCGCTTGTGCTCCTCCTCCTCCCCCTCCCCCTCCTCCTCCTCCTCCTCCTTCTCCTCTTCCCCCTCTTCCTCCTCCTCCTCCTTCTCCTCCATCCCTCTTCCTTATAGTGAGATACCTCCTCCCTGTCGCAGCTCGAGGCCTGTCGAAAGGCCGGACCAGGCGTGTCGCCTGAGACTTCCTCACCATTTACGATCCTAAGGCTCCAAATGTGCAACAATTTCACGGACGGAGGGCGGGAGGCTTTCAAAATGTGGCTATCGCCTTAGCGCCGCGCGCATTAGTCTTACGAGTTTGCAAGAGCTTCACGGATGGAGGGCGGACCGTTTTGAAAATGAGGCTGCTCGCGCCATAGCGCCGCGCAAATTCGAATTACAAGTTGCAAAAGCTTCACGGATGAAGGGCTGACCGTTTTCAAAATGTCGCTCTCGCCTTAGCGTCCCGCGTTTTTTAACTCAGAAAAAGCTTCACGAATGAAGGGCGGCCCGTGATCAAAATGTGGCTCTCGCATTAGCGCCGAGCACATTCGTCCTGAGAGTTTTGCAAGAGCTTCACGGGAGGGCGGTTCCTTTTCACAATGCGGCGTTCGCCTCTGCGCCGAGCACATTCGTATTCACATGGCTAACGTCCCAGAAATGGTGTTTGGGCACGATGTCGGAACGTCAGTGCGCAACAGTCACGATGATTCGCGGCGTTGAAGTCCCAGGAATGATTTCTGGCAGAGTTCCGGATGTTCGAACTGATGTCTTCTAATGGGGCACTTCCATCAATGACAATGAACCCTTGTTGGCCTATGAAGACGGAACTTGAAGGGAGGGTTGATTGCAATATCGTTGATGATTATTGGGTTTACACTGGTCCTCCTCCTCCTCCTCCTCCTCCTCCTCCTCCTCCTCATCATCATCATCATCATCATCATCATCATCATCATCATCATCATCATCATCATCATCATCATCATCATCATCATCATCATCATCATCATCATCATCATCATCATCATCATCATCATCATCATCGTCATCATCATCATCATCATCATCATCCTCATCTTCATCCTCATCCTCATCCCCATCCCCATCATCATCAGCATCATCATCATCATCATCATCAGCAGCATCAGCATCAGCATCAGCATCAGCATCAGCATCAGCATCAGCATCAGCAGCAGCATCATCATCATCATCATCATCATCATCATCATCATCATCATCAGCATCATCATCATCCCTCTCCGCCTCCCCCTCCACCTCCGCCTCCGCCTCCGCCTCTTCCTCCACCTCGTCCTCGTCCTCGTCCTCCTCCTCCTCCTCCTCTTCCTCTTGGAGGTCCCCGTCACATCCACCACCACGGCGGGCTCGTGTCGTGACGACTTCGGCGGTGGCTTCTGACACCGCGCGGAATGCTGAACCTTGAGCGATCGTCGGCTACCCGTCCACAGTCACGTGCACGACGGGTTCGTGTCGTGACGACTTCACCGCTGGGTTTCTGACACAAAGCACAGCAGATGGGGTGAATTAGCAACAATGAACCTTCAGAGGTGAGAGCTTACAAGAATATGCATGCATGAACTTTCTTGGGTCGGATCTGCACTCCCCTCCCCTGGCGCACGAAGCGCGCCATGGACAGTGCTCAAGGCGGCGCCAGAGGGGCCCAGCGCCAACGCAAGAAATCAGCGCCGACATCATTTATGAAGTTGTCTGCTCTTCTACGGCAAGTTTGTGTCGTGACGACCCCAGCGTTGGAGTTTCTGACACCGTGCGGATCGTTCAAACTTGAACGATCGTCGGCGTTTCGATCGCTAGATCGTTCCATGTTGGACGATTCTGGGCCACTGGCGGCGTTCAGCCTTGAACGCCCGCGACGACTCCGTCTATACAACAAGAACCTACCGTGCACTCCCTCGCATTCTCGCCCCCTCCCCGTCTCCCGCGGGCGAGGAGTGCGCAGGGAAAAGGTCTGGGGAGGGAGGACTGGATTGGGACAGGGAACGGATGTGACAAAGGATTCTACTAGCCACCGGTAGGTCCACCACACCTGGGGACTGCCTCCTGAAGTCGAAGAGCATCACGGAGAAGGCACTCGTGAAAGCGTCCTACCCGCAGGGAGGGGAGGAGGAGGCGGAGGAGGAGGAGGAGAAGGGGGAGGAGGAGGAAGGGAGGGAGAAGGAAGCCCCTTCAGGGGTCGCCGAGGGACTTACCCCGCCCTCCTAAGGGAACTCCGTTTTGCCTTACCTTGCAGCTACCTGCCTGGTTGGATCACCCCCCCAGCGGCGACCGCCGCTGCGAGGGGGATGGCAGCGTTCCGGATCGAACTCCCATGTCACCAGTCTTGAGTCATGAGGACAAGGAGGAGGAGGAGGAGGAGGAGGAGGAGGAGAGGAGGAGGGTAAGGAGGAGGAGGGGGGCGTCCTCCCCAGCACAGATCACCGAGCTCAGGGAGCACCCCTCCTCGAAGCCGTCCAGCGCGTGGATGTACTTGCCCATCGTGGCCGAGCAGCCGCCCTGGAACGACACCAACGCGTCGGGCCGGTCCAGCGGGATCAGGTCCATGCCCGCGGGGCAACGGTCAGGACCCGTCCGCACCGTGACGACCGCGCCCTCGCGCGCCAGGCGAAGGTCGTTCACCTCGCTCAGGCACTGGTGCGTCCACACTTCCTGGTAGCCCGCACCGTCCTCGCCGCAGGTGCCGCCGCGTCCGTCAGGGGCCTCGGCCCTCCGCAGCAGGCGCACCTTCCGTGGTGGGAGCCCCTTCTGCTGTGCCACCTCTGCCCAGCCTGCCTGGCCTCTACCGAGTCCCACCGGTCCTTTCGGTCTAAACAGAGCTCTTCCAAGCCTACCCTCCTCCCCTTCGGGGCCCGCTGGCAGACTTCCTCCCCGGCCAAGCGAAGACTCCTGGGGTCCCTTGGAAGCCGATTGGGTGTCTCTCGAGGGCCTCTTGTGGGCCTCTCGGGGGAACCTTGGGGGCCTGCTGGGAGCCTCTTGGGGCATCTTGGGAGCGTTTTTTCCTCGAGACTTCTACGATCCTGGATTTTTTTCTGAGGCCCTCTTGGGGATCTCTTGGAGGAGTCTTCTTGGGATCCTCTGGGACCATCCTGGGCCGTTTTGGCGCCCATCGTGCGACTCTCTTGGGGCCTCCTTGAGGCTGTCCTGAAACCTCAAGAACCCTCGGGAGCAAACATACGCTAAAGTCAAACATCGCTGATCCTCCTCACTCAAGATGTTGTAGGACGTTCGCCTTTCAGGAGCTCTCTAAGCGGAGTCTTGGGGCCATCGTGGGACGACCGAGGCTGCCTTGGCGTGTCTTCTGAGGTCTTTTCTCATCTTTGCGTGTCTTGTCCTCTGGGGGCCTCTGGGGGCCTCTCCGGCGCTCGGGGGCCTCTTGGGGGCGTCCTTGGAGCTTCGTCGGGCCGACCAGAGTTGCCTACACAGCCTTTTACCGCTTGGAGCGCGTATGAGGGCAAATTGGGGGGCCGTCCTAGGACGACTTTGGACGCCATGAAGACTGAGATGGCGAGCACGTGTAGAAAATCAGACTAAGACCATCAGTGACTGTTGCCTCGTGGTAGCCTCGTGGTGACCCGCTAGGGGCCATTGTGGGGCGTCTGGGCGGCCTGCGAGGCCGTGTTGGGGCTGTTTGGAATCATATGGAGCCAACTGGGAGACTGCCGTGTCTCGTCTCGTCCCGTCTCGTCTGGTCATTTCTTGTGTTGGCTCGTCTCGTCTGGTCTTGTGCGGTCTGGTCTGGCCTTGGCCGCCTTGGAGGCCCGCGGGGAGTGTCGCCCTGCCTTGATGGGGGAAGTCCACGTCGCAGCACTTCCCCCTAGCCTGGCCCCTGGCATCAGAGCCATCGGGGACGTACTGACCCGTGTCAATCCAGACCTGGGTCAGTCGGGCCTTGCAGGATCCTGCAGGATCCTACAAGAGCCTGCAGGATCCTGCACCCGAGCCCCAGTGAATGCCACCCTGGCTCTGCAGGATCCTGCAAGATCAGGCCATCTGACTGACCCCCGTTTGCATGGACCCCCGTCTCTCGATCCCCGAAGCCATCGCTCAGAAGCGATGCCCATGGCTCTGCGCGAAGGGCTCCTTGTCTGTTGTGAGAAACTGGTGGGCGCGGCCTTGCTGCCGCCCGAGAGCTCTGCCTGGGTTCCCAAGGTCTCACTTACCTGCCATGCAATGCTTGGCGGCGAGCGAGGAGGGGGAAGTGAGAAGAAGAAGAAGGCCTTCTCGGAAGGCGGCGGGACTTCTCAGAAGCCTCCGGGCCTTCTGAGAAGAAGTATGTGTCTTCGGGGAAGGCTAAGAAAACTTCTCAGGTGGCCCGGGGGACTTCCGTGCCTTCTGAGAAGACCCGCCCCTTCTCCCTCCCACCCTGGGCTGGCCGCCGAAACGCCTTGCCCGAGATCTCTGGTCCCGGTTCCTTGGTTCCCGGGTCTTGGATCCGTGGTATTGGTCCCGCAGCTCCTTGGTGTTGCTTCCTGGGTTTTGCTCCCTTGGTTTCTTGGACTTGTTTCGTTGGTTCACCTTGATGTGAACGAGGCCGGCATTTCGGCCCGAGCTCGTTCTCTTAGGAAAGGGAATTCGGACGCGGACTCGTTATTAAGATCATCCGTCGGCCCCAGGTCATTTGGAAGTTGTCTCGAAGCTTGTGGATGCGGCCAAGGCGTACTGCACTTGAGTTGCAAATTTGCTTCCGCTCTGGCCGAAACTTTCTCTCGATGTGCCATACACCCCACCTGTGCCTCCTTCCTCTTCGCGCTCCTCCCCCGTGCCGCACGGGTGGGAGAGGTGGTCTGGCATATGGAGATGTGTGGCCTGCTCGGAGGGCAGGCATGCTGGCGAGCGCCCGCCCCCTGGCAACTGTGCTAATCCGCCGATCCGGCGTGTGAGTTGAAGGGGGGGGTGGGCCGGGGTGGCTCTGCCGGGGTAGGGGGGAGGGGGGGGGGGGTCTTCCACAGATTGGGTTCGGTTGGTCGGGGTTCGGTTGGCCAAAACGGACCCAACCCTTGCCAAGAAGCCGCCAAGACGGGCCAAGACGTTTCTGGATCGCCCAAAAATCGATCCAAGACGCCGAACATGAACCCAAGACAGCCCAAGAGGCCGCCAAGACGCCCCCAGAGGCCCCCAAGAGGTCTTCCAAAAGGGCCCCGACCGGCCAAAGTCATCGATTTCCCTCAGGAAAACCTACATTTTTAGCATGTTCGCCTCTTGGGCCTTCACAGTGTCCAACACGGCTCCAGGGGCCCTCAAAAAGGCTCCAAGACGGCCTAAGAAGGGCTTACGCAGGCCCAGGAGGCCCCCAAGACGGCGCAAGAGAGCTCCAGGACGGGCCCAAGAGGCGCCCAAAAGGGCTCCAAGACGGCCCAAGAAGGGCCCAAGACGGCCCAGGAGGCCCCTAGGAGGCCCCAAGACGCCCCCAAGAGGCCCCCAAAGGCCCCAACTGGCCCCCAAGGACCCCCCAGTGTCCAAAACGGCTCAAGGGGCCCTCAAAAAGGCTCCAAGACGGCCTAAGAAGGGCTTACGCAGGCCCAGGAGGCCCCCGAGACGAAGCATCAGCATCCCCATCACCATCACCATCATCATGATCGACATCATGGTCAGTGCCATGATCAAAATCATCATCATCATCATCATCATCATCATCATCATCATCATCATCATCATCATCATCATCATCATCATCATCCTCATCATCATCATCATCCTCCTCCTCCCCTCCTCCTCCTCCTCCTCCTCCTCCTCCTCCTCCTCCTCCTCCTCCTCCTCCTCCTCCTCCTCCTCCTCCTCCTCCTCCTCCTCCTGCTCCTCCTCCTCCTCAGCAGCAGCAGCAGCAGCAGCAGCATCGTCATCAGCATCATCATCATCATCAACATCAGCATCATCATCATCAGCATCGCCACCACCAACACCGCCACCACCACCACCACCATCATCATCATCATCATCATCATCATCATCATCATCATCATCATCATCATCATCATCATCATCGTCGTCGTCGTCGTCATCATCAGCAGCAGCAGCAGCAGCAGCAGCATCATCATCATCATCATCATCATCATCATCATCATCATCATCATCATCATCATCAGCATAATCGTCATCATCATCATCATCATCATCATCGTCATCATCATCGTCATCGTCATCGTCATCGTCGTCATCGTCGTCATCATCATCACCACCATCATCATCATCAGCATCAACATCATAATCAGCATCATCATCATCATCATCATCATCAGCATCATCATCATCGTCATCATCACCATCATCCGAAGCGCCCCGGATCGGCGGCACTGGCCGGAGGCCATTTCAATATTTCCAAACTTGATGCTGCGCGGCAACATGAGTTGAACCACCGTACGGAGGCATTCGACTGCTCGGATGGCTCAGTTTTGCTTTTGTTCGCCTGAGGTGCAGATGTTACTCCTCAGTTGCTTCTCCCCGAGGACTAACTCGGAATGTGTTGTTCCGCCGACGTGTGCTGGCAGAGCCGGTTGCAAGGCCCTGTGCTGGGGCAACCATTCTCTCCACTCTAGACGGCAGCAAGTTGTGACTGTCAAACTTGACAACTGTATGGCCTGTTTTGCTTCCGCTGTTTTTGT